AGCAGGACATTTGTCTGCACCAAAAAGCCAAACTCCTTGTTATAACTTACAAAGCCCTACAGGACTTAGCCCTCATGACCTGCCTCACATCATCTTCTACCACTCCCTCCCAGCATCCTTGCTGCTCCTCTACATGCCAGGAACACTCTCACCTCAGGGAGGGCCTCTGTGCAAGCTGATCCCTCTGCCTAAGTGTTATTCCCCAGACAGCCATTTGGCTAGCTCTCTCGCTCCCTTTATTTAAAAGTCCCCTTATCAGTGAAGCTTCCTCAGTGACCTTATCTAAAATTGATCACCAACACCATCCAACATTTCCTATCCCCCTTCCCTGCTTTATTTTTTCTCCTGAGACTTATCACCATCTAGCATACTTATCTTCCCCAGCAGAACGTCAGCTCACCAAGGGCAAGAATTTTCACCTGTTTTACTCTCCACTGTATGTCAGTGCACTGAATAATAGGAATTCAATAAATATTTTTGAATGAATGAATGATTATACGATTAACATGAAACAATGTTTTTCAAAAAAAAAAAATAGTCTAGTTCATCGGCATTCTAGGAAGGCACGTAGCTCCAGGTATCCCCTGGCACACAATCACGACCAGGTACCCTCAATGGCACACCTACTCCAGGTGGAGGACAGCAGGCCTAGGATAAAGCCCACCTCCCTAGTGTGGGCTCATGCTCCTGCGCCCACACCTGGATAATTCAGTTACCGGAGCACCCCATGTCTCTTCTGCCTTGAATGTCTGTTGATTCCCTTCTCTTCCCGTGGAGCACTCTGATTCTGCACTTAAAACCCAGCTTTCCTTTCACTTTTTCTGTGTCTTCCCAACTCGCAGTAAGTGGTTAAGCTCCGTCTGTAAGTACTTCTACTGTAACTATGTTTACAGCAGTCTCCTCCAACTGACTTCGAAGGAGGGAGTGCTTTAAGAGAAGCAGTGTTTTATCCATCCGTTTATCTGGCTCAATACCCAGAAGCAAGGTCTACACGTTAGAGGTGCTCAATAAATGCTACCGAATGAAGCAGTCAAAACCAAACGAAGAAGGAAAGCGCAAAGAGAAGATAATGACCCATTCAGTGGAAAGACTCCAAAGATCCAGACCTGAGGCCACCACGTGACCTTGTGCAAATGTCAGTTTCTTCAGCCAAAAACAGATGCCTCCCCAACCTACCTCACAGAGGAGCTCAAAGAAAACAAAGGCAGATCTTCTGTGAGGTATTTTTATTATCAAGGTATAGGTTATAAATTTTGCCCTACTTTTTCAATCCCGGAATTGATTCAGTAAACATGGAAATGACTAGATTGAAGCCCAGGTATATTTAATGTGACCACGCTTATACTGGTTTATCACATTCAAACAGGAGAAAACTAGGAAGTGTTGTCCAAAAAGAATATTAAAATCCAGTTTATATACTCTCCATGTATACCGAGAGAGAGAGATGCTATATAATGTATATCACTATGTACAGAGGACTATAATTTGATATTTATCACATTCTAATACATGAAATATCAGAGAACTTGACAGCAAACTTCAATGCTTATTACGTTTTTCTAGAGGCAGCAAATACAGGAGCTAAGAGCATTAACTCTGGAGTCTATCCACTTAGGTTTGAATAAAAATGCACTGTACCACTGCACGCTCTTGGAAAATTAAGCTCTCTCTGCCTCAGTTTCCACATAAGTTAAATACAGATAATAAGGCACTTACCTCGTAGGGTTGTTTAAGAGAATTAAATGAGATAATACCTATAAAGGGTTAGAACAGTGCTCACTAAATTTTTGACTATTGTTAATAGTATTCATTGCTTAAAACTTACAAGTGTTTCCATATCTTTTTCTGTACTGACATCACACTAACTTAAATGGAATGGAAGGTGAAAATCAAAGTGCTCAAAATACTTCAGCCCAGGCAAGATCTCTTTGCCTTGATATCCCTGCGCCCTCTTCAACCTCACCTTGGAGGGCTGGTATCAAAAACAGCACTTAGAGGGAACGCACATGCTGGGACTCTAACAGAAGAAGCAGTTGCCCTCGTGCACCTTAATGCTCCATTTCCCTCTCTGCCCCCTCACTGCCGCCCACCTTACCCTGTGACATAACCACAGCAAGGAATGAGGTTACCACAGCCCATCCAGAGGTGTAATTAATAGCCTGGAGCCTGGGGCCAGATTAGATTAACTGTACCTGACATTGGCCTTACTGTCTGACTACTCACTTCCTCCTCCTTCCCCACTCTTCATAAAAGGAATCCAGAATTCCTTCTCCACCAACACTAGGACTGAACTTCTAACTTCTCCAACCACGTCCACTCTCAGCATTGAAAGAAGCTGAGCCCTGAAAGAGCAGAGATTCCTGGGAATAATGCCAGACCAAATTCTGAAGACCTGAACTCACATCCTAATAATGCTATCCAGGGTATCCTTGAGGCTGTGATACTACTGTTTAAGGTACCTACTCATGAGGTTCTAAGGGATGATTAAATGGGAAAATACATGTGGGAAAAACACTCAGAAATTTATGAGGATCATATGAACAAAATGAAATTCTACGTAATGATTACTGGCTCATTTGCCTTCCTCCCTATTTAAACACTGATCTTGATGCTTGAAACCATGTCGTTATAAACATTTCTTCTACCAGAAGAAATTATATTCAAAAAGAAAAAAATAATTTATTAAAAATATAGAGTTATAAACGTGATTGATATGACAACAAATAAGAGGCAACTTCGCATTGAAAAATACTGAATAAGCACAAAAATACTTAAGATTTTTAAGAAGCAGAAACACTCAATCAGCAACGAATATTAATAAAGCTAAAATGGATTGCCTAGGTAAAGCAAAAAGAAAAAAATTAAATCTTATATTGAGCTCTGTTTGTGTCCATTCCAAAAACAACGTAGCAAAAATGATCAGTCTCCACCTCCAGACTGTCCCGACCTGCCATGACCTTCAAGTCATCTTCATAGCTCTGAATAAATCTGAGTAGTACTGAACAGTGAGACCACTTTCAAATTCACACATGGTTTCCTCCAGCACTGTTCTGAAATTCCAGGCATTTTTCTTCCTGCCCAAGACCAACAACCTCGCTTTAGATGATAAGAATGCAACTACCTGAATTAGATGCTTCACTCAATAAAGAGATAAGGGGGCAGGGGGGAATAACAATGGCAGCAAACAAACCTAAACCTTTTTGAGCACCTAAATGCCTTATGTGCATTATCTCTCTACTCTTAACAGACACCCGATTTCATAGGTATTCTTTCCTCATTCTAGATAGATCATGTAAGGCTTAGAGAGGAACATTACTTGTTCAAGATGACACCTCTAGTAAAGTACTCAACTGAAGTTTAAAACACATCTCATCTGATCCTGAAGAAAAGCCTAAAGGCTTTTACCACTACTCCATGCCACCTCCAGGACAACCTAGAGGTCTTCTAAAACCCAAGGGAAGAAGGGATTCTTCAAAGATTTTTAGCACCTCTTAGGACTATGCAGCACAAAGAGAGAGTGAAGCGGAAGTGATCTTACGTAAGAACAGGCAGTGAGGCGGCTGGGACAATGATATTAGTTGGCAGTTTCACTGTCAATACCGAAAATGTTGCTATCAGCTAAAAATAGTAGAGAATTCAGTATATAAGTATCTGAAGAGCCCTTTCAAAATTTAAATCAAATGGGTGAGATGCAGAAGTGTTTGAAGGTGGTAGGAGCTAAATGTGGGTCAAAGAACATTAGCTTTGATAGCTTTCAATAAAACTTGAACAAGAACTTGTATGTGTGTTTTATAAATAGAGGGGGGTATGAAGGGTAGAAGTCGCATCTGCAGATCCGTGGCAAGAGGAACTAAGAGAGGAAAGGTCTTAGAATAAGAAACTAGATTAAAACTAATAATAATTTTTTCCCTCAATCTACCATTCCGACTCATTTAAATGATGTAAAACCAAATATGAGGAAGAACCTACTCAGATGATAACTCACAGATAATTTTCAGTCCAATTTGACTTATACCAGGTTAAAAAAGTAGGTTCTATAGGAAAATGAATATATGTACAATTAAAATGTTTTCAACAACCAGTCAGATCTCTCCTTGAAAGAAAATTCTAGGGCTTTCTTCTTGTCCAAGCTTCTTGGTTTAACCAATGAATTGTTTTATGTCAAAGAAATCTACAACAAAAATATAGCCAACTCCAAGGAATCTAAATGAAACTTTTAAATCATTTTGGGATTAACTATTAAAACAAAATGTTTTTCCATAAGGATACTATTCTGCTATTATCGAGTAAATTAAAACTAAATTAGTTTTTATTCAAAAACTCTATTTTTCTGTGTGGTAGTAAATTGCTTTTAGTTGGGGTTTAGAGAAGCTGTGATTAATCACTTCTCCCTAGACATCTAAAAAAATGCAGTTATCAGAGTTATACTTTGGCTAGATTAAAGATGTAAGCCACAACTTGTTAACCATGGAGGGTACCCATCTCAAGAGGGTCACACCACAAACTCATCTTTTCATATCTTGTGATGGCCACTGCCATCACATAAGGCAGAAAGATTAATGCACTCTTTCTGCCTTATGTTTTCCTTTCCTTTGCCACAGCAAAGTTTCTCAGTTGGCAATGATCATCTAACCAGGAGGGCCTCCGGCAAGGTAGCCCCATGTCCACCATGCCCACCGGCAGTTCCAAGCGCAAAAGAAAAGAAAGCAGGAAAACAACAGGACAGAAAAATAGGAGAGCAAGAGTAGAAGGGGATGAGAAGAAACAGTGAGAGGGAGAAATAAATGAAAAGGAGAAGAAAAGATGGCAGAAGTAAGAAAAGAGGGAAGACACGCAGAAAGCAGACAAGGAAACTATGGAAAAGAAGTCCATGCGCAAGGAGAAAGAGGGATAGCGCCCCACAGGGCCATCAGCATAGCGCTGTGCTTTGAGTCGTCTCCTCTTCCTCTTCCTCTTTCTTTCCCCGTAGAGGAAACAGAGTAACAACTTTGTGCCATTACCTGGATGAGTTCGTCCAGCTCAGTCGAATTGACACAGGAGTGTTGGGAAATGAATGTTTGCTTCTGGATCACGATGGTGGTCCTCTGTGAAATCTCGTGAGGCTGTTCCAATGCTTTGAACACGGTGGCTCCGATGATCAGATAGAGGACAACCACCAGGAAAATCGTGGAGACTGTCTTCCATTTCATAACATTAATGGTCGTGTCACTCTCCACCCGGGAAGCAAGCACTGTAGGTTTCGTGGAAAATGAGAGCCTCGGTTTGGAGTTCTGAGCGGCAGATTTAGGATCCAGCAAGTCAGGTGCCGCCACTGACAACAACAGAGAACGAAGGTTAGGTTGGAGGAGATTAGAGGGGTAATGGTTGGGCCTCTTTAAGGGGTCAGCAAAGGTTGACTGAACTCCGCTTGCTTTCCTGGTGGAAGCCCTGGAACCTAAACCAGAACCCATTAGATTGCATCCAGGACCATATAAATGGGTTCAAGGAAAAGGGGGTGGGTCTTAGCTCTCTGCTGCTATTGGGATTCCAGACGAGAGGAAAAAAACAGGAGGTGGACCACGAAACTTAAAAATAATAAAAGAATGCCTGAGATCTTCCTAATTAATTTCTAAATTTATATCTGTCCACCATGCTAGTCAACAAAGACTTACTGAAGTCCTAAGAGTTGACAGTACTAAACTAGATATTTGAATACTCATGAAGAAGGCTCATGATTTATTCCTGTTCTCAAGAGCTTAACACTCTCTACCAGAAGCAATGTAAAGAACATTCTCTATTTTTATTTAAAAATTCATTATAATTCATTATCATAAAATTATATGAATTTATTAAATTCATATAAATAAAATTCATTATTATAAATAAATATAATAATGGTATTATAAGAGAATTTGTGATCTGACATTGTTACTCAGAGTAAAACATTAGTAATTCTCTGGCAAAACATGATGGTTAATAAACCATTCAAGAGCCCGATCATTTCTTTTTGCCTGTTCTCTAAAGTGGGCTCGTGATTAAGCAATCTCTATATTTTGTTATTCGATCTCTGACATTTTTAAAAAACAAAAGGATTGCCACCCAACGTAGCACAATTTTAGATGCAGACTAGACATGATAAGTTCCTTCCATTTCCAGAGTGAACATTATCAAGAAAAAAAATTAAAACCTTGTCTCACACCTTAGACCCTACATGCTCTGTACAAAGCTAATTGCTCCATTAGACAGGATTTATGTGTTCTCTTACAGATCCCCATATACTCCGAGGTGACTCTAAATCCATTTATTATTCATCTCAGCTGTTCAAAAATATCATTAATGGATTTCTTTTTAGAAAACACAGGAGATACTAGAATACCACTTGCCAAGGGGAAAGTAAGTTATCTACAGAATATTTGATTGGAAAGGCAACATTGAACCAAAAGTGTTAATAGAATAGCAGAAAAATAGGAGACTTAAAAAAACCATCAACTCAACCAGAACAATCGAATTAAAGCCCGTAATTGGTATAGATATAAGGAAAATTATTTGAGTGTACATAATACAGCTTTGCTAAAATGATAACCTAATCTAAAAGACACTTTTAGGTAAGTATATAAGAAATCCCGATGGAATTGCACCCAAATACCCTACAGAAACCTGAAATTACTTGAGGATAAGCAGGGAATGAAGAGTGTCAATTGTCACATGGCTACGTAGCCTATCCTCTTGACTACCACTGTGAGTTAAATGTGAACACAGTTTGAGTTCATAAAATAAACCTTCAGTTGCACATCAAAAAGAAGCTTTGCAAACAAAACTATTTGAAGCACTAGACCTAAGTAGTGTTGTGCAATGATGGCAGCTAACAGAGGGTTCCTCACCCAGCAAAGCTCTGAATGGTTCTGACTTTGAAGAGATGAAGTCAGAGCTGTGATGAGGTAACTGCACCCATGACTCCAAGCGGGGAGTCCACAGACGTACAGCTCATTACAACAATTCCCTATGGTTCAACCTGCTATAGACAGGTATGTACACGTCTCCCTCCTGGTGCGGTCACCTGCTCCGAGTAAAGCCACTAACTAGTAGACATCTTTAACGTGTAATATTTAAAAAAGCAACTTCACTCAAAATTAGCACTGGATATGTTTAATGTTTTAATTAAAAAAAATAACTTCTGTAATAGAAATGCTGATAGCTGAAATCACTGTCATCTGCTGTCTAGCCACCCCACCCGCCTCCAAGCTGCTTAGTGAGTCTGAGTGAAAAATAAGATCATAATCTAAAATTAAGCCATTTTTGGAATAAAAATAACAGAAAATCACACAGAAGCTCTACATTGTCTCTCTGAAGGAAGCTTCCCAAGCCTTTCCTCTCCAGTTCTCTGTGCTCTCATATTTCTGATTTTTCACATCAGTGGTTTCTAGTCTGCAGAACTGGAAAACACCAAGACTGTTTACCTTGATGCTCCTAAATCCCAATCCTAAATCCCAATGCCAAACTAAGACATCATCATTATATGCTTTTGGGGAAAGCAGACAGATTTTTTTTAAAAAAGATTGTGTGTGTGTGTGTGTGTGTATCAAGCTAATACATTTCCTGATGAGTTTAATTCTTTTAAGCTATTGCCTTATTTTTTAATTAGCAGAAATATATATAATGCACATTTGGCAGACAGAATGGGCAGAAACTGGGGAAATATCAAAATAAAAAACGACAGCCTTTCCTCTCGGTCTAATATGGGGAACTCTCTGCGTTTGCATCTCCACATCGTGTGATGTATGATCGGAAAGAAAAGCTCCTTAGAACGAGGAATCAAAGATTCGCCCCTTCCATACACTCTCAGCACCAACACTCTCTCTCTCCTCCGCCCCCAGCACATCACAGTCTCCTCTTAATCCTGGTCTCCCATCCTCACCCAGGTATGTCTTCTTTGCTCATAGCCACAAGTGACTACTCAATACCAGGAGAAATGAGCTTTTTTCAGCACCACCGCCTGTCCCACCACGCAACGGGCAACAAGTGTGACCAGGGTCACCATGCGTCCTGCCTGTCGCTACTCCCAAGGGCTGACCCTCCTCCTCCTTCGGAAACTCCCCAAGGTGTTCCAAACCCATATCCAAGGCAGATGCAGCACCAGCGGGAGAGAGGGAGAAACAGCCAGGAGAGGATCGGGGATAGGCTTGCCTCCAACCCCAGATTATGACCCGACACCTTGGACGGGAAACGAAGGTGGAAAACGTCCACTTGCTGCCAGCGGGGCATTTGCAGCCCTCCCAGGACAGGCTGGGGCGGGAAAGCGCGGGGCGGGAGGTGGCGGCGGGGTACCCGGGGGTCTCACCTCCCGTTCTATAGCCGGGTCTCTCCCGCGAGGCGCTGGGAAGCATGAGGCATGCAGCATTCAAGATGTTTTTTGAAAAAGACAGACTTGAAGCTTTTACAAACACGCCATTGTACTCACTTCTTATTCAGAGACGGGCTGCGCGCTCCGAGCTGCACGGGCAGGCATTTTCCCCGGCTTTGTTTTACAAGGTGGAGAGAGCGGGGCTGGACGCGGGGGGTGGGGGGAGCGTGAGAAGAAACGAAATCGCGGGAAGGAGGGGACACCAGCGGGCTGGGCAGAGGGCGAGGCCGAAGCCAAGTTGGGCTCGGGCGCCACCGCCCCCGCGCGCGCCTGCGGCCGGGCCCGGGTCACCCGGAGAGCGCGGGCGACCCGGGTCCC